CTGCATGTTAACCTCGTCAACAGAATTAAATGGTGCATTCAGAAATGTGAATACTAATAATGATACATTATGTGCTGACTATGCCAGACACCACCATCTTTATGCATGATGAAGCCCCTTATCATCAGAATAAGGTGGTCAAGAACTGGTTGCAACATCATGAAATCCCCGTTATAGAATAGCCAGGTTACAGCCTAGGTCACACTCCAGTAAGAATAAAAATGTACAATACTATTGTGACTGGAACAATACACAATCTGCACATAAGAGAAAGAACCTTGTGGCTAGTTAATGATCCAAGTCGGACCGAAATGTTGTCCTAAGTTTTTTTCTATGTGCAGGTTATTTGTGTATCTCAATCCAATCAAAAATACTTGGCAGGTGTTGAAATTCAGGGCAGCAAAGTATCAAATCTCCAGCATCCCAACATAGGTGGAGGTCTTGAAAAATTTATGAATTTACACATGTAACCGATTTCCAGAAACTAACGGATTCTTTGCCAGAAAGGACTAAAAAGAAATGAAGGCAAAACGTCAAATGATTAAATATTGATGTTTTGAATTTTTACGTTCCCTAATAAAGTTCATGAAATTTTTTCTTTGGTTTTATTCACCCCTGCAAACTTTTTTTTTTTTTTCCAAGAGACTAGCGAGTGAATGCAAGAGATGAAATTTCCAGAGAAAACCAAAGATAAACACAGTATAACAATTACTATTAAAAGCTGCCATATTTGGGAATCACTTTAAAATTTTCTTACCTTTTTTTCTGGTGCTTTTCCCCCGGTGTCTTCAATCTGTTTTTTCCCGAGAGATTTTAAATATGGCCATCTTGTTCTGAACCTTAACACTCCCTTTTCAGGCGGCCACCTCTTCATTCAGAAATCCACCTAAAAATTTTACATTAAAATTTTTTAACAAGATTTAAAAAAGATTTTTTAAAATTTAAATAAATGTCAATATAATAGTTGGTAACCTAGCCTTTTTATACAATCTTAGCTTTTTTTTGCCTGCATTTTAAATTTGCAAGAAAGAAAGGGACATCCATGAAAAAAGGGCTTTAATGAAAACAATTTTTTTTTGCGGAACCTAAAATCCCCCTATAGCGGGAAATTTTTTTTATTCTCATTTTGGGTTTTACGACCTGTTCCCCCAAATCTCTTTTGTTCTCCCCTTCTTCATAACTGTGACAATGTCTTCTTTTTTTTTTTTTTCGGTTGTGAAAACACCTGCTTTCATTGAGACCCTTCTCCTTTTCTTCTATTTGACCATGCAGTCTCGTTTTGTTTCAGCGTTGACACTTTAGACAGGTTTTTCACCTCGGCCCGCTTTTTTTGATATTTAAGCTTGCAACATAAACTTTCTTCAACTTTGCCCTCAACATCCCAAGGTTCTTAAGAAATAAAAATATGCTCATTTCCACACAATATTTCAGACTAATAAAAAAGCTGCAAAATTTTTTAAGTTTTAATATTTTTAAATTTAATTATTAAAGGAAAAACAATGGAAAAAAAATTGTTTTTTTAAAAAAAAAAAAAAACAAAAAATTTTTTTATAAAAATAATTGTCTACAGAAACAAATTGCAGAGGAATTTTTTTTTCAACATACGGGCCCATTTCCCCCCCCCCAAAAAAAAAATACACACCCCCCACCCCCCCCACACACACCCCACTACACCCCCCACACACACAAAATACATACATCATACAAATCGTACAGGGGAACCCGGGCTTAAAAATTTTAATCCGTTCCGTGGGTGTTCATATCTTGATTTGTTCATATGCTGGGTCAATTTTCCTCATTTAAACTAAGTAAAATGAAATTTAAATTTGTTCCAGCTGAATCCTTCTCTCAAAGGCATGACAAAAAACCCTAAAATCAATCTACAGCTTATTTACTGTGTTAATTCATTAAATGACAAAATAAACAATATAATAAAAAAAAAACCTGATATAACTCAGAATAAATAAAATATGTCATTATGGGGGCGCGGGGGAGAAGGTTTGTGGTCACGGGGGGTCGCGCATTTCCCCTAAAATGTCAGAGGTGTTATCGTAAAGAAAACGGAGTTTGTGAGGCTAACAAATTAGATCTGGTGTACATACGACTTATATACCTTGGAAAAGAAACAGAGAGCATACCCTGTCGGAGTTCACACTTTTCTTAAGAACTGCTATGTACAATTTTTATGTTTATTTCACTACACTACAACTCCTGCGAGCTTTTCTTCCTTAGCCATGTCAACAGCAGTTTTTCCATCTTTTCATTGACAGGGGGCCGCTATTAAAAATTACTTTAACGCCCTTGCTGGGCTATAGCCTTTAAGAACCCTCCTGCTTTAGCATTGTACAAAAAGTAAGTGGGCTATGCTATGTTCCCCCTCGCCAAGTCCTTAACCCTCGTACCTTCGTGTTACAATTTTTTGTTTTTAATTTCATGCAAATATCCTCTTTCCGGGCACTGCCTTCCACTTGCTTTCTCTGGCCCCAGGGTTTAAAAGAAAAAAATTTTCGTGAATTAACTGTACAAAACGAAAGGGAAATCAGGGAAAAACCCTTGCACTGTAGGGTCCGTAAGACAGTCCGGTAAACTTTTGGGTGTCATTTTTTAAAAATAAAATATATGCATACATACATAGTATTACATAATTTTTATGAAATATTTACATATTTATATATATTATTATTAATTATTTTTTTATTACTAATAGTATTATAATATTTTTTTTTATCTCACACGGGCCCGATTCCCCCCAAAGGGCAGGGTGGCCCAAAAAGAAAAACTTTCACCAGCTTCACTCCATCACTCCCTTGCCAGAAGGGGGCTTTACACTACATTTTTAAAAATGCAACATTTAAAACCCCCCCTTCAGAGTGCAGCCCGTATTTCCCCTTCCAGGATCAAGTCCGGCCTGCCGGGTTTTCCCCCAATTCCCTTTATAAAGTTACTTTTCTCACACCCCCAACGCACGTCAATATTAAAAACCCTTTGCCCCCATTCACTCCCATCAAACACGCTCCGCACGCCGCTGGAGTCCAAGCCCTCGCACACAAAAACCTCCTTTTACCCCCCCCCTCCAACCTTTCCCGCCACCCCACCCCCCCCTTTCCCTTTCCCCTACAACTGATACACTCAAGTCTTCTGTTTCGCTCCCTTCTCTCTACATGTCCAACCACCTCAAAACCCTTTCCCCACCCTCTGACAACAGTTTTGGGTTTTCCCCCACCCCTCCTAACTTCCAAACTACGAATTTCTGCATTATATTCACACCACCCTTTTCCCTCAGACATGACATCTCCACTCCTTTCCCGCCTTTCTCCTCCTGCAACATTCATCCCCACGCTCACACCCCAAAAAGAGTGTTGGGAAAACTATACTCTCATACATTCCCCTCTTTCCCCAAGGACAAAGTTCTTTGTCTCCACAGCTCCAAGTGCACCCCCTCACCCTTTTCCCCTCATCATTTTATGATTCACCTCATCCTCATAGACCCATCCGCTGAAGTTCCCCCCCCAAATATCTGAATACATCACCTCCTCCATATCTCTCCCCAATCTGAATCCAATCTTTCATCACCCAATCCTTTTTTTTACCTCATAACCTTACTCTTTCCCGTATTCCGTTTAATTTTCTTCTTTTGCACACCCTACCCAAAATTTATCCACTCCTGCAACTTCCTTTAAATCCTCAAGAGCACAGTGTCATCAGCAAAAGAGCAACTGTGAAACCCCACTTTATGTTGATTTCCTTTTCTTTTTAAATCCACCCTCTTGTCAAAACCCTCACATTTACTTTTTCCCTTTCAACCTCCCCATAAATATATTAAAAAACCACGGGGACTCACACATCCCTGTCTAAGGCCTACTTTTTCTGGGGAAATAATTTCCCTCTTTCCCATGTACTTAATTTAGCCTCACTATCCCATAAAAACTCTTTACTGCTTTTTATAACCTACCCCACACCAACACCCGCAACAAATTCCACATTTTCCCCCCCCAAACCACCCTGTCATTTGCCTTTTTCCAAATCCATAAATGCCACAAAGACCTCTTTAGCCTTACCAAAAAACTGTTCACTATATTTTCACTGTAAACACCTGGGCCCCAACCCCCACCTTTCCTAAAGCCTCCTTGTTTTACTGCTATCCTATTCTCATCTTACTTTTAATTCTTTCAATAATAACTCTACCATACATTTACCAGGTTACCAACAACTTATCCCCCCTATAATTTTTTCATCTTTTTCCCCTTTGCCTTTATAAAAGGGAAATATGCATGCTCTCTGCCCAACCCTGGTACCTTTCCCTTTCCATCATTTTTAAATAATTTCCCCCCAACCACTCCCAAAACTATATCCCCACCTGCTTTTAACATTTCTATCTTTATCCCATCAATCCTGGCTGCCTTACCCCCTTTCATTTTACCTACTGCCTCACAAACTTACCCCACACTCACAACTGGCTCTTCCTCACTCCTACAAGATGTTATTCCTCCTTGCCCTATACACGAAATCACAGCTTCCCTATCTTCATCAACATTTAACAATTCCTCAAAATATTCCCTCCATCTTCCCAATACTCTCCTCTCCTATTTTTAACTGACAAATCCATTTGTTCTCTAGGCTTCCTTAACTTGTTAATCTCACTCCAAAACTTTTTCTTATTTTCAACAAAATTTGTTGATAACATCTCACCCACTCTCTCATTTGCTCTCTTTTTACATCGCTTCACCACTCTCTTAACCTCTCTCTTTTTCTCCATATACTCTTCCCTCCTTGCATCACTTCTACTTTGTAAAAACTTCTCATATGCTAACTTTTTCTCCCTTACTACTCTCTTTACATCATCATTCCACCAATCGCTCCTCTTCCCTCCCGCACCCACTTTCCTGTAACCACAAACTTCTGCTGAACACTAACACTACATTTTTAAACCTACCCCATACCTCTTTGACCCCATTGCCTATGCTCTCATTAGCCCATCTATCCTCCAATAGCTGTTTATG